TCCATGTAAACAACTACAGTAGTAGTTCCCGCTGGACCATGCAGATGAAGCTTAAGGTAGAATATTAAAGTTGTAGACATGGTTGGTTTAATTCAGCCCAACTTGGTTTTTTAAGGCCTGAGATTTGAGTTCAAATCTTCAGTGCACTTCTCAGGTAAAACGCCAAACGTCCAGGTGGTTGCAAAATTAAACAATATGATTAAACTGAGTTTTTTCCACATCTAATCTTTTTTCCATGCTTTTTCACAGTAAATTTCCAGACCATACCTTAGACATGTAAAACACCTTTTCAGTTTGTGTGATGAGCACTTTATTTACAAATATAATTAAAAGCTCTGACAGATTCATGCCTTTATTTTAACCTGGAAAAAAAAATTAAAGTGCATGCAATAATAAAGCATCATACTGGTCTGGTTTATAAGAAACTACACAGCTCTAGAGTTGTGTAAAGCAAGAAGTGGGGGGGGAAATGAACTGAAAAATCCATTGATAGATACCTGGATTTGGAATACTATCTGAAGAGAGGGGGAGGGGGGGAAAAAGCGCTTTTAAAAATTATTTTTCTGATTTAAGTGACAGTTAAAATACAATACGAAAATAAGTAAAAGCTCTCCATAAATCCTTCTATACACAAAGTACAAGTCCCCCTGCCCTCCCCATGAAGCCCTTTGTGCTAGCTGGGAGTTCACATCTCACGTGTATTATATTTCACATTGGCTGCCAGTGCAGAGAAATCAGTACAATACACATGTTGAGTACCATGATTCACCCACCCTGCATTAATCACATGAAGGAATCACATATACTATAAGTGTACCTGTATGCACATTGTGAGTTTTCCGTCAAAGTATCAAATTATTTAAATTGGTCCTAAAAATGTCTGCGTGAATAAATACCAAAGAAGCAGCCCAGACGAACAGCTGCGGAAGGATCGGTTTGATTTTTCGCTTTGATTTTTTTTTTGCACTGCTCGAGACCAAAAAACAAAGTAACAAATATATTTATCGCCTCTGAAAAAGCATGGTTTTGAAGCGATTTTTGCTCATCCTACGACCTTCAATTTTGTCTCCCTCCTTTTTCTCAATTTCCACTTTTAGTCACACCAAAAGTGTCATCATTGCACAAGAAACAAGAAACACTGTGACTATGTTATTCTTACAAAAACATGACAACCACAGGAAGTTATCCAGCATATTTTTTTGTCATCTTGTGACACCACAGAGGCAAGGAGGGGGAGGGAGTATAGGTTGGTTTGTCAGGGAAGGGTGGGGGGACACTCAAACCTGCCATCGACCCTGACTGACTGGCCCAGAGAACACACCAGAGCTGATCTCGAAGCAGTTTCTTTCTTTCTTTTTTTTCTCTTTTCATTTTTTAAAGTGTGTTTGAGGAAGGGCATCAGCAGCTGTGAACACCTGCACTGTCAGGTCAGGTCAAAGGAGAGGTGGGGTGTTCTGAGGCAGACGGTTGCCCCAGGGGGACTACATGAAGATGGCGGCGGCAGAAACAACGGCCCCTCATCTGTAGTCGTCCTTGGGAAAGTCCAAGGTGCCCAGGTTGTTGAAGCCCAGACGCATGCTTTCCATGTCAAAAGTGTCGATCTCCCGCTCCTGGCGTTCCAGCAGGTGTTTGATGCGGTCGGTTCGCTCCTTCTGAAGGGAAACCAGCTCCTCTTCAATCTGCAGGTGACATGGGAACAAGAAATATTCAAAGTTAAATGTAGTTTACTCATTTCTAAGATACATTTGTCTGTTCTTGATGATCATTAGGTTTTGATTTTCCCTCCAGTTTAAATATTAAAAACTTTTTTGTAAGCCTGAAACAGATATAAAGCATCTTCAACACTGCACTTTAAAAAAAACAACAAAAAAACAAAAACAAATACAACTTTGAATGTTCAGTGCTTTAGAAAATAATAGAGGGCAATGTGGGATGGCCGTGGCTGAGGAGGTAGATAGGGTCAACTACTAATCAGAAGAGTGATGGGTTCAATCCAACCCACATATCAGCAAGTGTCCTTGGGTAAAATGCTCGACTGATACTCCAAACAGCGTATCAGGTGCCCGATGCATCCATCAGTGTGAGAGTTGAAGCGATATATGACACATTGCATGGATGTGTGTGACTGAGGGGGTAATGCTTGTAGTAAAAATCTCTTTGAGTGCTTAATTTACCAACATATACAATTAAAATATAAATATAATAAACATACTCCAGTGATTATTTTCAGGCAAGGAAAAACCTAAACTGGGTGACACTATAAAACGTGACCTATGCACCTTAGTTATTCATTTTAAAAAAAATCAGTTTTTCTTTAAGTATAGTGTATTTGAGTTATGTCATAGCTCAACTTGTAAAAGCAGAAATGGCGTGGAAGCATTAATGACATCAATAATGCCTGTTCGCAGAGCTGAGAATAGTTTTCTGGTGATGTAATGCAGGACCTCTGAGTAACTGATGAAACCAGTTAATTTATGCAAGAAAAGCAGAGATTTGCAACAATATTTTTCAACATTATTCTTGGGTTATTTTTTATTGTTAGATTGTTCACTACTCGGTCACTGGGGCAGACCTTTTTGTTTTTAGTTGATATTTTTAATATGCATACCCAAGATTCTTTTGTTTAAGTCTAGACAGTGAGCATGAGGTACTTTGCTTCCTTGATCAAATGTGTCTTAAGAGAGAATGACAACTGCAGAGCTGTTCATGCTGGGCATTTTTTTTTTTTAAAATATCCTCACAACATTACAATGAGTATAACTGCAGGCACACTTCATGAACTGCTTTCGTTACCTCAAAGGTGCAAGTCTGTCAAGTTGTACTCACCACAAACACAACTCAGCACACACGTCCACAGGTGAGGACAAAGCAGTGTGTGGCGCAATACGGCAATCTTGCCAACTACTGAGCATGCACAGAAAACTCCAGACTCTGACCATGAACCGAACCGGAGGACAATAGTGCTTCTAAAACCATGACATCATCCGTCTCGAAGTGCAGATCTGGATGCTGCCAGGAGATGGCAACAGACCACCACAGCCTGCACCGGCTACACTGGATGGCAGGCGGCATTTCGAAGGTCCCTTTCTTTGTTGTCGGAGTGCTGTCTACTAGACTGTATCGATGACGTAGGCCACTTTTGAAGGAGGCATACTCTCATCTTATTACATGTCATTGCTATACCATACAGGTTGTATAAAGGCTCACGTTAAAGACAGCAGATGTCTATCAGGAGTGTCTTGCATCACATTACGGGACAAAGACTGGTACAACTATCAAATGTTTGGAAAATTATAACAAAGGTGATAAAGCCCCATGACAGCTGCTGATATCACAGGTGAGAGCAGGTTGCACACGTTTTAGGCACTTTAGACTGAACGCATACAGCAACCTATCATGGACAAGCTTAATAATAAGCTACACCACATAAACTGTTAGCTGTTAAAAATAGAGGGTGATGCTGTAATAAGGGCTCAATACTGTTGTCTAGAGATTTCACCATCATTACGAGTGTGTGGGAAAGAAATGGTTGTCCGCGCCCCGCAGGAAGCCATGCCACTGTCATCACCACCTATGGTGAGGGAAATCTGTGTGTCCGTGTGAACTTGTGTATGTCTGTCGGGGTCACCTTTAATGCCCATGCTGCTTGCTGATGTGGATGCAAATGAATACCCCAATCTGTTTGCTTAAGCTTCAGGTGAACTAGTTGCTTTTCAGCAGATTATCGCCTCTATTTTAAATCATGCTTTTTATTTGTTCTTGTTTCTAATGTCTCTGTAAAGCACTTTGAATCACCTTGTTGTTGAATTGTGCTATACAAATAAACTTGCCTTGCCTTGCCTTGCCTCTAGACGAAGCTTTAAAAAGTCTCCTTCCTTCATGGATTAATAGGAGTGACGTCAAAGAAGGATGTAGAAAAAATTTATTCAAAACTTAAAAGCAATGCAGTATCAGTCAAAGAAACGGACTTCTGTTTGCTTTATATCTTATTTTTTCATGTTTTGTTCCTTCTAATAAAAGACGACATGCTACGCTGCATATCAGACTAGGCTGTATATAAAAAATGGACACAGAGTTTCTTGATTTGCAAAGTCAGGTCTTTGAAGTCTGAAACTGAGATTTTTTGTTGCTTTCTCATGTTTGAAACGAGGTGTGATGCATTAGAAAAACTGCTAATACCAACTTGGATCATAATTAGAAAAAAGAACCTTAAATTTTATTAAAGAACATTTAAAACTATTGATTGAGATACTATTTTTGCCAGTATGAGTAGTTGCCCCCTATTGGCAATGAGAAAGAATAACGAATTAAAGCGCTTCTGCACTGGCTTCAATTTTCAGATCTGGAATCTTGGAAAAGTTAGATGATGTCTGGACAATCATCACTATTTAGGTCTTTAAAAGATTTTACAGGAGAAATAGCGAAAAGAGCAAAAACTTTTTTTTCCCAATTTAAAAGGCACTTAATACAGTGCAAAACATTTGAACTATGGCGGGCTCCAACTAACTTGCAACATCATACTTTTACTCTGCATTAACCCAACTGTATTTTTAATTCTTTCTTTCTGAAGCCTTATGTTGCACTGGAGCAGTTGTTGTCTTACAGGCTGTCAGTAATACAACTTTTCGTTTGTTCTAGTCTTGCTTATGTTCCAGCTCTGTACTGAAAAAGCACATTAGGTAAGCTGTATTTTCTTTGATGATGAAAGTCACAGATTTAATTAAATTGATGCAAATATTCTCTATTTGTTAAATCAGTGGGGATACTTTAAGTTGATCAATAGACTGAGGCCAAAAGCTAATTTGTTCTAAATGTGAGGGGAAATAGCACATCCCTATTGCTATGTCAGTGATGGTGTTTTATTTATTAGAGTTTGTCTTGAAGTGTTTGAAGAATTCATTCTCTGTTTTAAAGACAGTACAAAAGATGTTCTCCTTGTGCGTTTCATTTATGGTTACTAAACTGACCAATTATGAATGAACAGGATTATAAAGCATGCTCTATGAAGGCTTGAAAAACCCCAAATGTATAGCTCTCATTTAAAATAAAGTGTTTATTTCACAACACCTTTTGTTCCAGGTGTGCTCGGCGCAGCGACACCTTCTGCTCCAGCTTCTGCTGCTCACGCTCATGCTGCGCCTCGGTCTGCATCTTGATCTTGCTCTGGTAGGCATTGAGCAGCTCCATCTCCTGCTGCAGCTGCTGCCTCAGGGCCTGGCACTCCGCTTCCTGGGCCTCATCCAGACGCAGCTGACACAGCCGACCATGGGCGGCAACACGGGAGAGAGAGGTACAAAGACACAGAGAGAGAGAAGTTGGGGGCGGGGGTTACACAGACAAGGAACACACAAGGAGAGAGTAGAGAGAGAGCGGGGAAAGAAGACACAGAGATGAAATGAGGCGGGGAGGTGGTGACGGAGGGATGGAAGTTAGTAGAAGGGCAATGGGGACAGACAGGGCAAGGAAAGCCAGTGGAAAGGGGCGGGAGGAGGGAAGGTTGGAGTAAGACATGAAGGGAGATAGTAAAGGAGTAAAAAAAAGGGTGTGATACGACGGAGAAAGACAAAACACGAGACAAACAAACAGGAGAAAAATACAAGAACATAAGCAACAGGTGGAGAGAAAGGCTTCATATACTTCATTCATTTAACGTGACCACCTGCACTTTAGTAAAGAGAAATTCTTGTTTAGCAAATATGATGAAATATGAAATGAACGTCTCTCTGCTCACCGCCTGTGAAGCCATCATTTCGTTGATGCTCTGCTCATACTGCTCAGCCAGAATGGCCAGCTTGCGTGTCTGCTCATCCTTCAGGGCCTTTAGCACAGTCTTGTGCTCGGCCTTAGGCGTAACTTCCATCTGGTGGTGGCGTAGGGCTTTGTACTGTTTGGTCTGCACCTTACATGTGTCCTGAAACTGCTTCTTGATCTGCAGCTCCAAAACCTGAAGGATGGGCCAGAAAAACGGTGACAGTGAGAATGAAATCTAGAGTTAAATAGAGCACATTTTTGAAAGGTTAGAGGTCTAATGTCCCAATCAAAAGGCACAGTTCGAGGCTTTGATACCTTAAAGGCAAATTAAAATGAAATTCATAGGTGACATATTTTGGATATTCTTACACCATTTCCCCCAAATTAATTAATTTGTTACATTCATATTGCATCACAGTTTTATCAAAAACTAGATGTTGCTTATCACTTGCACAATCTTAGAAGTGGATCCCAAAGGCAAGGGATTTTTTTCCTTTTAAGGATGATGGGAAAAAGGGATTTGAAATATTTCAAGCACTTATATATCAATCCATCAAACAAAATTTAAGATATTAGATCGACTGGTCTCTGCGCTGACTCACTTTGAGATTCTTGGGTTGCTGCCGGAGCTCCAACACATGCTTGCGATGAAGTTCACGCTCACGTCTGTTGTTGTACTCAATCTGGTTCTCCAGCTCCGTCTGGTGCTGCAGGCGGATGAGGTCCATACGCAGCTTCTGCAGGGTCTTCAGCTGCCTCTGCTCCAGTTCCTGCGTGGACTCATCGTGGCGGATCAGCATGGCATGCTCCATCTCTTTCTGGGTCTTCTTCTTGTTCAGCTCCTAGGCGGGCCACGAGGAGACATGGAGGTTACAGCAAGGGAATAGAAGGATGAATCTCAGCAAGTACTATTGATGAGCATCAATTTGACATCAACATATTCCCTTGCAGAAATCAATTTTACTGTTTTGTGCTTACAGCATTGATTGCAACTAGTAACAGCTGAGAGGAAAAAGGAAGAAAAAAAATCAATAAACATCACATATTTACTTTCCCCCCCTCTTGCTTCTAGTTTAATCACATTGATTTTGGAGCATTTTCCCACAGAAAGTTTTTGGATTTCCTTAAACTCACTCAACAGCTTTTCAGATTATGGCATTGTTGGCTTGTTTTGTTGTGGATTAATCCTGCTTACAGTTAATATAAAACACCTGACAGATCTAAATAACACACTACTGTCTGCTGTGAAAACATTTGTGGGACTTCTGTACACCAAGATCATAAACACTAAACAAGGGTTTAGTATTCAAACTTGCAATGTGGGCATATATGGTTTGATCAATTCAGTCAGAAGTTTACAGTAGTAAAGTTATCCAAAAGCAAAACATTTATAGATTTACAACTTGCACACGAGTTTTAGAAACTTGTATGTCCTCCACACCTCTCTGATCTGTTCCTGTTCCAAATCGTGCCTCTTGATCATGACTTTGCGCTTGAAGGCGCGGCAGTTCCTGTCGTAAAAGACCCTCTGCTGGGACAGCAGATGGGCCTCCTCCTCGGCCTGGGAATGTTGCATGTTCTCCTTGTGCTTGGACAGACGCTCCTGTTTCTCCTTCTTGGGTGTGCTGTGGTCCTCGTTCATCTCCTGATGAGAGGTGGAAATTCCAAGTAGAAGGGGGAATAGAGAAAGGAGATTGTGTTAACATACACAAGACAGAAGATAAAAGTATTACTAGTAAAGCCTTCATTGTAAGCAGTCAGTGGTGAACTGTGTAGTTTGGGATGTTAATGGATATGTGAAAAACAAATGTTGCCTAAACAAGCTATTTGTAAGCCATTTTTTGCTGGGGAATAAAATAGAACCTCTATTCAAATCAACTTCATCAAATATTTTTAGTAAGACCATTTGGTCAACTCAAGGTGACCTTTTATTTTGAACAACAGTTTACTTTTAAAGCCAAAGGAAGGAATAAAGGAATTTTCTTTCTCTTTCATGCGCAATCTACAACTCGCGCTAATGCACTTAACACATGAGCCTGATCCCTGCTCTCTGTGGTGTCTAATTCCGTTATAGCCCTCAGTTGGTGGGAAATATCTCTCTCTGCCAGCGATGCTTTCTCCTAACTGTGCTGACCTAATTTTGGTCACTTATCATGTAACTGAAAACACAGTGTATCACACTGCCAGCCCACAAGAGTATTCTCTGGATTCTTTTACAAGGTTGTGGTGGTTCACAAGTGCTCCGGTGAGCGTATGGATTTCTGACTTTTCTTGTTTGTGTGTACATACATGTGTAGGTACACAGTTGGTAGGCTGAGTGACTCAACACAACTTCCAAAAGACCATGCTGAAGTGGAAGTGTATGTTTGTGTGTGGGAGCCTGATTCTTCAGCACAGAGCGCAGAAGGTCACGTGTCACCCATGAGAAGGCGTGCGAAGGAGCGCGCCTGAGAAGAAAAGAGGAAACCAACGAGCCCAGCATACCTCCTTAATCTTCTCCTTGCAGAGTTTGTACTGCTTTTTCTGATTATCCAGAAACGTGGTTAGCTCCTTCTTCTGCTGGGCCACGATCTGCTGCTGGAACTTCTTCTCGTCTGCCAGCGCCGTCTTCATCTGGGCAGAATAGACAGGGACAAGAGCGTGGTTAGATGCCCCTGACCAGCAACAGACAACACGCCACCAAACTGTGGACAAATACATTCATGCACAAACCTATATAAGAACATTAAAGTATATTAACATATATTAACAAAAGTATATTTGAAGACAATAAGTTGGTTGATTAAAATTCTAACACAAACAATGTCCTGCTTAATTATAATATGACCAGTTAAAAATTCTAGTCTGCACTTCAATTCTAAATCAGATGTTAGAATTCAGATAAAATTACCATAACATTTGTTCTTCTAGATGATAAAACAACCTTTTTTTTTTTTTAAAGAAAAGAGACATTGCAGTTATAGTTATAGAATTCTATGTAAATATCTAGTAACATGTTGGTTTGTGACAGCCACATGTCACCTATTCATGACACCGTTTAGATGTACAGACTCGTCTACATAAACAGATAAACTATCTTCTTGACTGTTGCAGCACGCACGCTGGGTGCTAATCACAAAGATATACAACGTGTTTTTCAGAGCGTGACACTCTGTGACCCAGTTCTGCCCCTGTGTTTCATCACATGTATCATTGGGTGGCAGCAGTGGGTTAAGTTCTAACAAAAACGTCCTCATTACTCATTGCAACACTGAACAGCTTTAAAATAGCAACACTTTAGAAAAGAATAGAACTTTTTGACGTGTTTTTCTTCAGCAGCATTAGAAATGTCACAGCTTCAATATTATTCCCATTTTTTCAAAGCTGACCAGGTCCACCAGCCAACTGTTGCATCGTACATGTAAGTCAGTGTGATCATTTGTGAAATAACCTAACAGTTACTGCACTTATTCATAATGTCCTGTAACCCCATCAAAAGTCCCACCTCTTTCTCAGAATGCACAGCATGCCGTTTTGCCAGCTTCTCCAGTTCAATGTAGGCGTTGTTGGCCTGCGTCTCCACCTCTTTCTGCAGCTTGAGCCGATGCTCGTCCATCTCGGCCTTTAGCTTGTTCTCCAGGGCGATCAGCTGCTTCTGGTGCTGCCGCCGCATGCGCTTGTAGCCGGACATCTGTTCTCGCAGCTCACTTTCCTGCTCATGCTCATGAATCTGTTTGGTCACCTGTGGTGAGAGAAAAGTTAGAAGATGCAAATCAAATTACTTCACAAAAAACAAAAAAAAAACAACAACAACAAAAAAAACAAACAAACCCAAACAGTAATGCCTAACTGATTAATTCGATATGATCAAAGTATCTCGGTTCATTTACGAGAAGAGCCTCAAACAAAAACGTTACAAAACAAAACAGTTCACTTGTTGTAATCAGACTACATTACTTGCTAGTTTTACATGTACAAGAAAGAATCTTCAACATGTGATATGAAAATAATGACATCAAGAAGCAAATAATTTGAAATCCACCACTTCAGCTGAACAAAAGCTCTTTCATCTGACAATCTCAGATTCGCAGACACTGCACAGAATAGCCGACTTCAAAGTTCCTCAAATGTATTCAAGTCAGAGCGTGGGAAAGAAAACAAAAATGCTGTAAAGACAATAAACATCTACTGTATGACTAAATTTAACCTGAGGCAATGACCTTACTGGTATTTCTTACCACTTTCACTTATTCTTGCTTTTAACCCAAACCTTGACCTGACCCACCAACCTGAGGACAAAAAGGGTTCTCCACATCTAGGTAGTACTCGCTCTGCATCTTCTCATAACTTCCACCTGAACTCCTCAGGCCAAACATGATGGCAACTTTAGCCAAGTGCACCAGCATCCAGGAACCTTGTGCAGCATCCTATGCCCGACAGAACCCTGCCCGAGCTCCGATGCCACCCTGAGACCCCCCCCCGACACACTTTACTGGACGTTGAGCCCCCTCCCTCTCCTTGGTTCGCGCCCTGGGCATGCAGCGGCCAAGGCAGACGTGTGAACTGTGAATGAGGCAGTTGGACACCGCGGGCCAACAAGAGCACAGAGCGGCTCTTTAGTCAGGCTAACGCTAAGCGGCGGACAGCAGGTGGGTCACATGAATACCTCATTGAGAAAGACTGAGAGAAGTTGGAGGGGGGTGTTAGAGAGGAGCAGGCCGAGAGATGAGGGGAGGGAGGGTGATTGCAAAGGAGAAACAGCAGATGGAGAGTGGCTGGGAGAGAGTTAAACAGGAAAAATAGAAATAATCAGCAGTAAAATAAGAGCATCTACATGGAGAGAAAAAAAAAAAAAAAAAAAAAAAAAAAAAAAACAGGGTGGGGGGAAATGGGGTGGAAATATGTGGAGGCTGAGCTCCCCTTCTCCTTAATCTGCTCTGAATCAATACCTCTACTGTAATAGAACCTCCCAATCCTAGTCACTTGCTTCGCTGCCACCATGCATACAGCCACAAAGGGCCAAGTCAAGTCATGTGACGGCTTCTTTCACACAAGGCTTTGGGACTGGAAAGGAGATCATATTCAGGGAGAGGAGGGAGGGAAGGCATGCAGGCTAAAGGTGAATGTTAGAGTGAGTGAGAATTAAGCGCCCAAACTTTAATTTTTGCTTATTTTGCAGTTCAAGAATATCCGTCTTCACAGAGTTTAACTTGTGTGAACGTGCAAGCCTACTTAAATAGAATTATTGATGGTGGTGACTGATGCATTTTTGTTTGCAATAAATTATAACTACAACAGTCCACTTAGTTTGATCGCTGTGTTTGCAAGGCATTTAGCGTCAGTGAATATGCAATATCACAATTGTGACTTTATGATAACACAACATCGAGGGCAAGAGCCAGACCTGCATCGATATCAAGAGCCTCAAAACGCCGAAATCCAAGTAAATATTAATGCTCCTGGTAGGCAACAGAAGAAGACTATCCCCTTGTCAAACCTCCATGATTCTTCTTTATCGCTTCCTTATTACATTAAGGAAAACACATTTCAACCCTGGTAGGTACCACATAGAAAAAGCATGGTTGTAGTTTGAATGTTACTGCAGATGTATAGTAGCATGTAGCAAAGACATCTGGTTTACAGGAGGAAGCAAAAGGCCTCAGACCTTTGTATAGCATGCCTTTTTCCTGCCAAATGTGAGGAGATCTCCCTTCTCAAGTCTGATCACAAAAAATAGGACTCAAATGCAAAAGATGTCCATCTAGCTTATTCAATTCTGACACTGACCTGTAAATAACAAACATCTTAATATATATAACTGCATAACATGAAAGTTAACAAGTACAACCTTAATTCTGCAAGTTGCAAGAAAACTGATGGGGGAGGAGCACATTTTGATATGCCTTACACTACACTTTAATTTCCCATCAGCGTTTATGCTGTCAGGTTACAAACTGCAACCAGCAGCTAAAGAATATATGAAGTGAAATATTTTACAACAATGTTGTCTCTCACACCAGCTTACACGTCAGTCAGTGGCTTCATCTAACCTATAATAACCCCTGCCCTCGCTCTCACTCACTGTCTCACATTCGTTCACCTTCTCACTTTGCATCCATGTCTTTCCAGTTTTCCTGTCCCCTCATCATTTTTCCTATTCCACGCATCCCTGGATAATTTTACATCCTGCTCTCCTTCACCTTCTTTTCATGCCTTTTCCACAATACCTCTCATGTCTTTGGTTTTACCCCTTTCTTCTCTTGTTTCCCCACTGCTACATTTATTCAGACTCCACACTTCATTTCACCAGTAAATGTGATGTTCTTTGGGTTTTTTTGTCGGTTAAGATTTCAATCAGCACTGCTCTTAAGTCTCACCTTTGTTTTTCTATCCTTTTCTCTGCCCTTCTTATCTCCCCAATATCTGCCAGTGTCCTCTATGATGCCTTTACTTTCTCTTTCAGTTCACTAAATCTTTAATCTCTTGCCTTTTCCCTCAAATCACCATGACTTTTCTTTATAAAATAATAGTTTCTAATTATTTTGATTTTAGCTAATAATTCCCCCCTGTTTAAACCATTCTTAATTGTTTATGTTTTCTCGCTTGTGTTGCTCTCCATCTTCCTATCTGGCTATCAATTACCCCTTGCCATCTGGACCCCCCCATACTGTCCTACCTCTCCCTCTTTGTCTACCTGCTTCCAGTCTCAGTGAGTCGAGGCCAATGTGAGGATGTCTGTGCTTGGAAGAAAAAGATGATGTAATCTCTTCCAGTGCCGGTGGGCAGGACCGGCACTGTTACACTACAGAGAGGCTGCCTTTTTTCAGTTACACAATGTGTAATCTCAGCTGCCATTATCTATAAGTTTAATCCACTGCAATATGCATTAGATCAAAAGTATTTTCATGTATGATTAGAAGTGTTTCTTTAAAGGATAAATGGTAGAAAAACAATTCACAAAGAGTTAAGGTGAGGAAGGAATACTTTTTTTCCGTTTTATGGTAAATTTAAGTGAGAAAATGATCCAGGATACAATTTTCCATCTTTTGTGGCTAAGAACAAATATCTATAAACTCCACAATCCCTGTTTTCTGATGAAAAAGGCATCTCATCATCTTGTGAGGAGGTAAAAAAAAAAAAACAGCAGGCTTATTGCCACTGTAATCTTTCATGTCAGTGGGAGAACATGTGAGGTTGTTTATGTATACATCAACTTCTTTCCCTAAGTGCCATAAAGGGAGGACTTTAAAAAGTGTTTTTTTATTTATTTATTTTTTTAAATTATATGTGATTAAATGATATTAAGCAAGTCATGATCAGTTTGTAAATCACATTGTTATATTTCCTTCTAATGCAGTACTGTAGGGGTTTCCTAAATTCAGAAATCACATTAGTTACAAATCAAAATATTACTTGCTCCTAATTTTCTGCATAATGTGTGTACTAAAAAAACAAAACAAAAAACCTCAACAAGAATAGATTGACCTACGGTTTTGCAAGAAACTACTTTCCAATGCTGTGAAAGTGACAATAACTCTTCCCAAGCAACTCTTTGGTTTTAAAAAGGTAAAAACAGCAGACCTAAACAGTTGATGATGCACTTTTCCTAGGCTGAAACGTCACCCACATACTGCGATCCATGGTCAGCAGCAGTCGGAAGACTACATCAGTTCACAGTTATGCGTGAGGGTTTTCAAACTACAGTTCCCAACTGCAGTCTTACATATACCATGTATCATTATCATCTGTTAATCATCTGCAAATCAACAGAGCCCATAAACATATGACATAGAAAAAAAAATCAAAAACAAAGTCATGTAACCTTCAGTGCCGGGGAACTACGGTTGCGGTCAACAGAAAACACACACAGCATCGGACGGTCACTGGTTCGTGCTCTCTTCAAGGACAATATGAGGACACACAGTTTCTTGTGCACACAAACACAAACACACACACTTCTTTGCTTACATTCTCTTGTATGTGACAAGATTTCTGGTTTAAGACCTGGCAGCAGAGGGGAACTCACAATTAAAACCAGTGGGTCATGGTTGGGTAAACACACACACACACAAACCACCACAACTACTTTCTAGTTACTAGAGCCGGTTTCCATGACAACAGACAGGGAGGGAGAGAGAAAGAGAGTCATAGAAAGAAAGAAAGCGCAAGAGAGAGAAAAAGAGAGAGAGAGGGAGAGAGAGAGTATTCCACCCCCTTCAACTCAGAATATTGAGTCAGATCTGAGAATGATGTATTATCAAATGGAGGCCAGGAAGAAATAAAGGAGAGGGTGGGAGGATGGGAGTGGTAATGCGAGGCGTAGTACAAGAGGAGAAAACAAAAGGAGTGGGGTGAATGATTGGAAAAAACAGCAGAGAAATAATATAGTAGACAACGATCCAAACAAAGTGAAGACCAAAAGATGGGAAATAAATATTTCAAAAACATCTAAACATGGAGACATACAATAACATTACACCCACTGAGACTGGGGTCATTCACGCACCACATTCACAGTAAGCTTTTTAACAAAGACAAATAAAAAAATGCCCTTTAATGCCCTCATAGTGCTGTGGTGTGAACATGAAACAGAGATTTGAGCTTCTTCAAGAAGTAATTTTTTAAAAATTTGTTTGGCCTTCCAAACAGCGCAACTTTTAAGTCAAATAAGTAGAACAAATTAATGACACTGAAACATTTACAGCATGCAGAAAACATGCTTTAGGACCTTGAAAAGAAAACACCAATAGAAAGAAGAAAGTTTTAGGTTCTTACCAGTGAGGCAGACTTAATGGTGGCAAAGCGGCCCTGGTTTTTGTAGTTTTGAGCCTGGCTGCTCTTATCAAAGGAAGCTGGCGTCGGCTCTGGCCGATGGTCCCTGTGGATCCCGTCGTCCCAGTTGTATTGATGGTCCTGTTTGAAAACAAAGGAGAGAAATTTAGGACTGGTAAATACTAAAAGAAAACAGAATAAATAACAACCAAGTGATCAAAGTAAAAAAAAAAAATGATAGTGTAAACTATGCTGCACTGCAGGGCACTCAACTTTTTTTTTTTAACTTATTAAAACTGTGCCAGTATTGAAATTCGTCACCATAATTCTG